ATGGAATAAAGATTTTATTTAGCAAACTTTTAATCCCATTATTTTGATAGGGGTAACTAATGTATTCAGAAAATGTGAAATGTTACTTGGAGTTTGCCAATCAAAAATTCAAAATCAAGTTTAGAAAGTTTCTTAGAGAGATGTTTGTAATTTTAAGCACCAATGAGAAGTTGATGAAGAAGAATTGGAGGTGGGTAGAATTTGTGATATTTGTGGTGAGAATGAGAAAGATTAATAACATGTCCTATTCAGATGTTCAAGAGATGAAGTTTGATGAGTTTCAATCAAAACGGGAATGACTTTTTCCATAAGCCGAGTTTTGGTACAATAGTACCTTTCATGTTTCGACCAAGTTTACTCCATTTAAATTAGCGTATGGACGAGCCGCTCCTATGCTTGTAAGTTATCCTATGGGTGAATCGCCAAATGCCGAATTTGATCGGGAGCTGATGAAACGGGATCTTCTAATTAGAGACCTCAAAAATATTTTAGTCGGGTCCATTAACAACATGAATGAGTACTATGACAAGGGACGCCAGGAGAAAAGAAAAATATAATTGGGTGATAGGGTTTATTTGAAGTTACGACCACACCGTCAGCATATCATTTCTCAGGAGGCGTTGTATAAGTTGGGGAATTGTTTTTATGGAACGTATCAAGTCATGGAAAGAGTAAGTAAAGTGGCATACAACCTTGAACTGCACCTGGACTCTCAAATTCACCTGGTTATCCATTTCTCACAATTAAAAAGGAGTGTGGTTAATGAACATGAGGTCAAATGCGATTACTAGCGGTGAGTCGGGAGGGACAACTCATCGCGTGACTTAGTTGAGAGGGTTGGACGTTTCCGTTGGGAAGTCTTAATTGAATGGGAAATACAAGATATTTGAGATCAATTTTCGAACCTAATCCTTGAAAACAAGGACATATTTGAAGGGGACAAGAATGATGCCAACGACGGTTGACTAATGAAAAACGCATACAGTCAGGCACGTCGAGTAGTTATAGGAGTAGTTTATGTGTTGATTTCAAATTATCATTAGGACCATTGTGTGTTGGTTTTTCTTTTAAAACATTTTAGATTGTTCATTTGGCTTTTTATTGCAATAAATAACTCGAAAAAAGCTCGTTTCCGAACACTTCTCGACCGATGGCCAATAGAGCGGGTTAACACACTGATTATCGTTTTCGATACAAGATCTCAACATAATATCACGGCAATGTCAGTGCAGATTTCATGATAATATATCCCATCTCTCACGACCAAATTTATCTATCGTAGCACCAAACAACCCCTTCTTTTACTACATTATCGGGCACGACGATTAAGGTTTCACATGCCTTTCTGCTACGCACTGCCCGCCATTTCCTGCAATTTGGATGCATAAAATATAGTATCAATCAAAAGATACGCTATTTTTTTTAACCAAAAAAAAATAAAAAAAAAAATGTGACAGAGGTTAATATCAATCAAAAAGATACATTATTTAATGTAATATTGATAAAAAAAAATCTTATTTTTTTTTTTTAAATTGTGGCTGATATTCACCCAGTGTATGTTTTAATTTATATAATCCTTAGGTTTGGTTGAAATTGTGTAACGAGCTTGATTAATTCTCAATCAATTTATTTACTTTATACACTTGATACAATAAGGACCATTTACATGTGTTTTCTTAAGGTTGATAATAATAATTATATATGTCATATTACATTTTTTAACTTACATATTGAAGGTGAAAGTGAATTTGGCCTAGCCCACCTCTTGGGAACATGACATGGTGAACATTCATTTATATTTATAGATAATATAATTTTTATACGCACCATTTATATTATTACGCAACATTTTTTTGTATTATAATAAAGTTTATGAATAAATCTGTTCGATCGATAAATTGTTTTATTATTTTCTGAGTTGATATTGATAGATAATTAAATCTTTATAAGCAATATGAATGTCAGATTTAATCTCTTCTATAGATGATTATATTTGATATAACTATATATAGAAAATTGATAATAAATACAAAAAATATCAATTTTTAAAATGTATTATAACATAAAATTACCTAAGTGTTTGACATTTTTAAAACCCTAATAACCATAAATAAAAGTTATGAGTACAAAAATGTGGACTATTACAACGTACCAAAAATTGACATAGAATTTCGAAGACAAAAGATCGACCATAAATTGACAAATGGGATTATGAAACACAAAAAATCGACATACATGTCTTAAAAACTCTGGATTTATATATTATTTATATGTTAAGAGGTTTAAGATTAATTTTGTGTGGCAAAATTATAAACTCATTAAAAATTATAATAGTTAGTGTCAGACATTTTCTTTTGAATCATACCTGTTATACCACGAACATTTGAACCGTTGGACCGCTCCTCTCGAACCGGGTTGCGTCTCCTTGATCGTCAGTACCTGCAAAGCACGTTGGGGGTGGTCCCGACGCGAACACTCCAACGCTCAAGTCAGTGATGGTCTAGAGAGAAAACAACAGAGTAACGAGATAACTCGTGTATGTGTGTTGTGTAAAATGAATGAACCTGCTCTTTTTATAGGAGAAATTTGGAGAGTCCTCATGAGACAAGAAGTCTTCTTCATGTATATCTCTTAATTAGGTCAAAAGATCATACATCCATAGAGTCCATGAAGTTGTGAACCTCTTTATGACTTGAGTACACGAGGGTGGCGCGCATTTGAGAGTGTCGCGCACTTGAGGGTGCCGCGCACTTGGAGGTGCCGCGCACTTGTGAGTGCTGCGCACTTGGGAATGTCGCGCCCTTGAGGGTGCCGCGCACTTGGAGGTAGCATAATAATACTGTGGGGTTAGACAGAGTACCCAGCTGCCTAACTGCCAAGGTGCTTAGTTGGTTCTCTCCATACAAATGTGATGACTGAATCACGACCGGCCTTTTATGAACCGCTACTGACGACCACATCAATACCAAAGTGAAAAAGAAACAAACTAAACTGAATCATTTTACTTGATACCCAAGTGTCGGTAACCGATTCGATGTCGATTCGAGATTGGTAGTACTCGACGGATAATACGGTTCAACCGAGCCAAACAAAAACTAACTCAAGTGTCATTCCTATGCGGTCAAAATTGATCCATACGAACCCAAATCACATAACTTAACCGAATCTTTGGACTCCATTAAACCATTGGCCTGATTTAGACCAAATTATGTGAAGGACGTGATATTATGGAAAGAGGCAAAATTTTGATGTTATATATTCATATGAACATAAGAACCTACGTTTGTTTGTTTGTTGCCATAAAAGGAGGATTAATAGTATTTTCACTTCCTTTCATCGGTGACTCGAATATATAATCTATCAGTCATAGGTAAAACATTTTACCACTCAAACTGCGCTTCGTTTTCACGTAAGAACATAAGTTAGTGAAGCTGATCTGAACGGTATGTTGGAATTTGCACCGGTGAATGATAGCGAGCTAGTTATAGGTGGACTATTATCTCACTTTTTTTTTAATTTCGATAAAAATAAAAGATTTCGTCTTTGCGAAATTGTGAGTTAGTTGTTTATGTTTTTTCTCTTTCATTTGTGTACAAATCGAAAAAGAAGTACTATCGAATCGATTTTTGGTTATGTGCGGTAACAAATAATATTTTGAGCAACCATAAGTTCCAAAAATTGATGTCGTGCTTGGATATAAATATTGATTTGATAAATTTAATCACAACTCAAATTTAACTTAACTCAACTCTCATCAATATTATTAATATAATTAAATAATAACAATCAATCATCACGTCATATCAATTTAATTCAACACTCATCAACTCATATAGTTTTAGTTGTTCATCACTCTCAGCACATCTCTCTTACTTTCCATCAAATTAACTTTAAGTATTTATTTTAAATTATATTTGTATGAAAACACAAATTCCCACTTAAATCTTTAACCAACTTTTTCAACTTGATTGTGTTAAAAAAAAAAAAAAAAGACACACTTAAGATTTATATATCAAGCACCACATGAACAATTTGGTTCAGTTTATATAATAAGAGCATTCACAATACTTTGAGTTTAATCACAAAAAAGTGTACGTCACCTAAGAAATAAGCCTAGTCTAAAAAATTGTTTTCTCTTAGAGCATCCACAATGCTTTGGGTTCAATCACAAAAAAAAAATGTATGTCACATAAGAAATAGGCATAGTCTAAAAAATGTATTCTCCAATGCAAAAACAAAAGTAGATTGGGTTTTGCTGATGTGGCAGCCAGAAAAAAAGACCCGGTCTACCTTTAAGTTTATTTTAGACCTAAGTAGAGACCTCGTCTCTTTGCATTGAGTGGACTTTATCAAAATTACATAATTTTATCCATGTCATCAAATACTTAGGTTTATTTGCATGTCATATAAGCAAGACTAGACCCAATGCATTGTACATGCTCTAATGCAAACAAAAGTAGAATGTGTTCTGCTGATATGACAGCGAGAAAAAGAGACTCAATCTACCCCTAAGTCTATTTTAGACCCAAATAAAGACTTAGTTCCTTTGCATTGGATTGGATTTTATCTAGTTTACATAGTTTTATCCATGTCAACCAAAACTTCAATTTATTTACATAACGTATAAGCAAAACTTCAATATTTTATTTAATATTATTGTTTTTATATATATATATATTTTTTTTCAATTACCCATACCCCAAAGCACAAACAATGACTTACTCGAAGTATGCCCCACCACGGACCCCCAAACAAATCTCACCCCATTCCTATTCCTATTTTTACGGGGCCCTCTCACTATCTAGAAATTCTAAAATCACCCCCATAATTCTCTTTCTTCTCCACCAAGTCTATAAAAAGCACACAAGAGTCCCATCTTCTTCTGCAACTCAATCCCATCCCCAATAACATCCCTTTTCCCCATTCTTCTCGTCCTTTCCCACCGGCCCATCTGTATAGAAGCCCCAATCCAAAGCCATTATCTTCAAAAATTTTCAACCATGGCTTCTTCCGGAAAAATCGCGTTTTCCGCCGTTATCCTCTCGTTCTTCCTCCTCTCCTCGGCCCTCGACATGTCCATAATCAATTACGACCGGGCCCACGAAGTGGGCCCGGACCGATCTGAGAGCGAGGTTGCGGCGCTGTACGAGTCGTGGCTGGTCAAGCACGGCAAGGCGTACAACGCACTCGACGAGAAGGAGAGGCGTTTCGAGATCTTTAAGGATAACCTTAGGTTCGTCGAGGAGCATAACTCCGTCGACCGGCCGTACAAGGTGGGGCTGAACCGGTTCGCGGATCTGACGAACGAGGAGTACCGGTCGATGTTCGTGGGCGGGAGGATGGCAAGGGGACCAGGGTTGAAGGGCCCGAGGGCGAGCGGGCGGTACGCGGTTGGGGAAGGCGAGAAGCTGCCGGAGTCTGTTGACTGGAGGGAGAAAGGCGCCGTCGCTCCGGTCAAAGATCAGGGCCAATGCGGTAAGCCCTTTTACTTCTTGATGTTGATTGTAAAGGCCGTTTTTTTTATATATCTGTGAATATTTTGTATGGATGATGATGTTCATTAGATTGTATTCATCTGTTCTTCAACGTGATTTGACTGAAATCTTTTGATTGGATAGTTCAGTTTGGGATTTTCCAAAGAAAGATGACAAATTTATTCTTTTTTTTTTTTCAAAAGAGCAATATGCATATATCTGTATATCGTTGTAATTCAGTTCATGATTTATTATCTATGGAAGTTTTTCTTAAAGAAACTAAAACATATTTAGGTCTTTAAAAGTGTGAAAACAATGCAATAGTATATAACAAAGCAAAACATCGCTTGGTTTTTTGGAGACTTGATGCAAATTGATGCTTATTTTTCAATTGTAAAAGGGAGTTGCTGGGCTTTCTCAACGGTTGCCGCTATTGAAGGTGTAAATAAGATAGTAACTGGGGACTTGAAAGTCTTGTCCGAGCAAGAACTCGTCGATTGTGACAGGTCATACAACCAGGGTTGTAATGGTGGTCTAATGGACTACGGCTTTCAGTTTGTGATTGACAATGGTGGTCTCGACACAGAGGATGATTACCCGTACCATGCTCGTGATGGCACTTGCGACAGCTCTCGGGTATGAATAATCCAAATGGGATTTTATCATTTTGTAAATCAAGACTCTTGTTGAACGTTCCGCATCTTGCAGAAAAATGCACGTGTGGTCTCAATAGATTCGTACGAGGATGTTCCGGAGAATGACGAACAAGCTCTAAAGAAGGCTGTGGCCCATCAACCAGTCAGTGTCGCCATTGAAGCGGGAGGCAGAGCTTTCCAGCTCTACCAGTCGGTACGTATTGCTCACTTTTGTTCGATAAATGACACCTTGTGTAGATTGATATTTTGTAGTGGCATTGCATCGAATTTTTAAAGGCTTTGAATACTTTTGAATCTCTGCTTATGGTGTAGAAATTATACTTGTATCAGTACAATGGTTGACCATCTGGTTATTATAACTTTATCTTTATAGATTTTTCGACGTGATAGTTAGTTACTAAACTTACCCTTGAAATTTGGCCTATCTAAAAACGATTCAGTTAGCTTTTAGAAATTGCAAAATGGCTCACTGAAGTTTATTTATGTTCAAGGGGAAAAAAAGGTAGCCTCATTATAAGGTTTAAAGGGTTAGACATCTGTGGGGTAAATATAAATCTCGGCGGGTTTTCGTAATCATGTAACAAAAATATGTTTTACTTTCTTTCTTGGTAATTTGACTAAGACTACGTTTGGTAAACTATCTGATAAGTTAGCCATAAGCTTATAGCAGATAAAGTAGCTTATAACTTTTAAGTGAATTTCAAGCTATAGTTGTTGGTTTATGAATTTTGGCTAGAAAAGAAAAGCTAGGTTATATGATAATTGTTTGGTAAAATTAGATAAGCTCGAGGTTTGTAAAAAAGCACGTCAAACCAAATCAAACATCATCAACATCATCATCAACATACCCAGTATATTCCCAACATGTTGGGGTCTGGGGGGTCAGTTGTACGCAGACCTTACCCTTGTAATTATACAAGGAGGCTGTTTCCATAGCGACCCAAGGTGCGTTGCGTCGTTTGATATATTTTTTCTAGAAACTTCACTAATAGAAGAAGCACTAGAATTTAATTGAGCCATTTTGATCTAGTCCATTCTTAGCACTATGCTAGGAGAATTGTCAACAATGACTCTTCCAGCTCCATATTTGAAATTAGGAAGTTTGTTTGCTAATCAAATAAGTTATAAGCTAGTTTATATGTTTACCAAACACAGCATAAACTTCTAGTATATAGCTTTTGCAGTTAGCCCTTCATATAATCACTAAACATCAAGGAAGAGTAATAATAATATTAATAAAATTACTGCATACTATCTTAGAGAAATAATTGTAATAATTAAGATACCCTATTTCCGTACAGGGTGTTTTCACCGGACACTGTGGGACTGACTTGGACCATGGTGTGGTTGCCGTGGGCTATGGCTCGGAAAACGGTCAGGACTATTGGATCGTGAGGAACTCGTGGGGCCCGAGCTGGGGCGAGAGCGGCTACATCCGCCTCGAGCGCAACTTGGCCAACGCCGCCTCAGGCAAATGCGGTATTGCGGTCGAGGCCTCTTACCCGGTCAAGACGGGCCAGAACCCTCCCAAGCCCGGCCCATCTCCTCCGACCCCTGTGAAGCCACCCACGGCTTGCGATAAGTACTCTTCTTGCCCGGAGGGCACCACTTGCTGCTGTGTGTATGAGTACGGGAGATTCTGCCTCGCCTGGGGCTGCTGCCCGATGGAGTCGGCCACTTGTTGTGACGACCACTCGAGCTGCTGCCCGCATGAGTATCCTGTTTGCGACGTTGATGCAGGCACCTGCTTGATGGTGAGTAACTGAGTACTGTTCTTTTCTTGCCACATGATTTTTTTTTGGGGCAAAATTGCAATTTTAGTACTAATGACTCAACATTTCGCAGTTTTGGTCATGTGATTTAACATTTTGCTGCAATTTGGGTTCTTTGAGTACTGAAATTGCAACAAATTTTCAAATTTCTGGATTTTCGATTAGCCATATAAGTCCTGTGATAATTTCAGTCCTGTATTTCAAATTTTTCTTGAAATTTCTCACCTCAAGTGACTGAAATTGCAGCAAAAATATTATTAAATTACAGAAAATGGCGAAAAGTTGGAACTTTGAGACTAAAATTGCTATGACGCTAAACCTACATGACAAAATGCATTTTTGCCTTCTATTTTGGCTTGAAACTTCATATCTTTATGTGGTGTGGCAGAGTAAGGATAGCCCAATAGGAGTGCCGGCCTTGAAAAGAGGGAAGGCTGATCTGGACTGGTCGAGTCTGCTTGCCGGTGCTAGAAAGTTCAGCAGCATTTGAGAGGGGTCGGGTCGAGGTTGATTGCGCCGGTGAATTTGATCATGATTTTATTTAAAAGGACACACTTTGAATTGGAGTGTTGGAACCTTTGCTCATTAATCTTTCCATTTCAAAAGAACCTGGTTTATTTATCCTCGGATGTTTGTAAATAATTCCTGCTACATTTCATTTCGTCTTCGTTGTCTGTCTATGTAATAGACATTTGGAGGAGTCTTGATGTTTTCGATTTAGTCTTGAATTTGCTTGTATAATTGATTCTAAGGTTTCGTGTTAGTTTGAATTTAAAGGAATTTCGCTTAATTTCTCAATGTTCGAAGTGGAATTTGTTTGTCTAGTTGTTTGTTTGTTTGATAGGGTTGCATACAATCCGACTTGGACTTATGGTACCAAGCTCGATTTTTTTTTTCTTTCTTTTTTTTTCCCTTGTTGGTTGGATTTAAGGCTGGGAACAAACCAAATTGAGTCGAGCTCTGGACTCATCAAACGAGTTCAATTTTTGTTTCTTCGCTCGACCTAGACTTTTTAAAGCGAGCCCAGGCTTGAGTTCAGTTGCTCGAGTTTATCCTGAATTTTGCTCTAGTTTATGGGTGGTTAATTATACTTATATTTGAGTGGCTCGTCGAGAATTCGAGCTCGAGTTTGAATCGAAGTTTGATTTGAGTCTTAGCGAGCCGCTTGATTCATTTGCTGCTATAATTGCATCATTATTACTATTTGGGGGATCATTTATTTACTAAATAGGTTGCACAAAAGCTGTTATCTCACTCTAGATAAACCTTGGTTGACAATTGACATACTCGATTAGTGTTCCAAATTAGGTAATCCAAACGTGGAAGTAAGGTTTGTATTGTTGAATGTCATCTCTTTTACAACTTGTCACGTGTAGAATGTTGTTGGTTGTCAAACTGAATGAATAGTTGTTCAATTTCTACAGTTAGAATTATCTCTATGACTTAACTTGATAAAAGTAGGGATGGATTGGTTCGATAACCGAACCAGTAACAGAATCGAAATCGAACTGATTGGGAGTTAGTTTACCGATTTTTCGTTAAATGAAATCTCGGTTTGGTTTTAGATTCACGGGCAAACAAATTCGTACCTACAAATTCTAACACAAATCAATTCACAAGCATGAAAAAAAAAATCCACCAAAAAGATTCTAATGGCACAATCTTTCATCCCAACCTAAAGTTTACAGACTTGAAATGAGACACACAAAGAAGGGAAATGCTTGGAGTTGTTGTTACGATTCAGTTTATTTTCTCGTTGGTTCGATTCAGTTCAATTTTATTTTTATTTTTAGATTAATACGTGTTGGTTCATTCATCCTGAGAATTAATTTAAATAAAAAAATAAGTCAAAAATATTTAGTGGGTCGTAAATATCACAACTTCAATATAAAATAATAATTTTTGAGAAATTATTTGTCACAACTTCAATAATTTTATAAACGTTTAAAAAAAAAAAAAAATACTTATACAATTTGCCACCTATATTATTGTATCTTATATTTATTTACAATTCATCTATTCCAAACAATTTTTAAATTATATAGAAATTCTTTAAATGAAAAATAATTTATTAAAAAAAATATTTTCCTCTAAAAATGGTAAACAGAATAATGGATTATTATTATCTCGTTAAAATGAAAAATAAATTAAAAAAATAGGAGAAAAATAACTACGCGCTGCGAATTGATGCAAGCACCAAGATCCTTCACAACAACATCAATGGAAACTTCCTCCACCTCCAAAACCTATTTAATCCATTGTGTAGCCGCGAGCAGAAGATAAAATCCCCAATCTCCTAAAGAACCCTTTTTTTCTGAGATCTGAAGATTTAATCCCTTTGATTTTCCCCCGATGTCGATTTGTGGCATCCAAGGTCAACTTCTCGAAGTCACTGGTAAGATTCGATTATTCTCATGGTTATGCTGGGTGTGATCTTGGGTGTGATTTGATTGATTTTCATGGTTATGCTTTCCGATCTCAGTCGTTGGTTGTAATAAACTCAAAGACACCGAGTGGATTTCTAGGCAAGATCCCTACGTTTGTCTCGAATACGCTAGCACCAAATACCGTACGCGTACTTGCACAGGTAGATTGTTTCATGCGAAATTTGTGTATAATGTCTGATGATAAACTTGCCTTTTGTTATAATGGGTTTGAAATGTTTTCGGTGAAATTTATGTAGATGGGGGTAAAAATCCGACCTTTCAAGAGAAATTTGTGTTTACCTTGATAGAAGGTCTGAGGGAATTCTCTGTTGTCATTTGGAACAGCAACACACTCACTTTCGACGATTTCATCGGAAGTGGAAAGTAAGACCTTTGTTTAATCTCTGTTTGTGGGCTTCAATTTGTTTCGGGGTTCTTGATTCTGAATGTTTTGTATGTTTTTTATTAGGATTCAGTTGCAGAAAGTTCTGTTGCAGGGTTACGACGACAGCTCGTGGCCTCTTCAGGACAAAAGAGGAAGGTATGGTTCTAATTGTGCTGAGCTACATTTGGATAATTGTGTTCTTGGGTTCGTGAGAGAATGGTTCTTGTTCGTAGTTTGGTTCTTCGGGTGGTTTATTGTTGTCGAAAGAATTTCAATTGCTCTCTTAAAAGTTAAAAGCAATTCTTCTCTGTTTGTGATCTTTTATTGTGCTTCTATGTTATCCTTTAGAAAATATACTTAATGTATTCATCTAGACGCATATTGGAGAGTAAATTTGACATTTTTAGATGTACTATGAGAGTAAATTTGAGGATTGATTAGTCTCTCCCAACCTAGTATGGTATTGGTGGCCTTAGCTGTAAGCTGGAGAAGGTGAAACTAACAAACCTTTTTTTGCCTTTTGCCTTTGGCTTTTGGCGCATTTCAACGGTTAACTAGGATTGCGAATCAAGTTGCATTTCTCGTTTAAGTTGATGTGTTGAATATTATTTGTAACTTTTTTTTATCATAGATTCCCGCCTCAAGTGGCGTTTTAAAGACTATTTTCTACTAAAAAAGCTGTCAAAATTTCTTTGAAAAAAAAAATAATGCATTAACGTGACAAGCTCTACCCGTCACGTTAAAGACTATCATCAATTTTGTTGTGTTCTGTTGGATTTTTACGACTTCTCTTCATTTTGTTTGCTAGACCTGACTTTCTTTTACGGAACCTGATGCATGCTTTTCTATTCGTAGGTATGCTGGTGATGTTCGACTGATCATGCACTATGCTAATGCAAATGTAAGCCAACAAACAATTAGAGGGATGTATTTTTTTGGGATTTTGAGTGACGTTTTGAGACTTGAGAATTTTTAAGATTTTCAGATTTAGGATGAGGTGGAATACTAGGATATCTCAAGTCTTTTCAGTGAAATCGTAAGTGTGAAGTGAGATTTGGAGTGAGATTTCGTATATAGTTTTTCCTTTTGAAATCCAGCAAATCTTTAAAAGTCTTAACAAATCCTAGCATCAAATAAGTTTTAAAAATATCTCAAGAATTTGTAAAAAGACTTTTTAAAATCTCAAATAAATGCTTCAAGCCTTTTAAAAGTCTTGAAAAATCTAAAATAAATATTTAGAAATCCCAAACGAATAGAGACTTTCGAAACAAAAGTTAATAACTAGGTTGTCTATTGCCTTGCAGAAAAGAAACAATTCCATTTACTTGATGAATAATAATAATAATAATAATAATAATAATAATAATAATAATAATAATAATAATAATAATAATAATAATAATAATAATAACTACTAATGAACTTCTATTTTCTTTTTTTTTTTCTTTTTCTATTCCTTCTTTTCAGAAGCCAGCAACAAACCACTACACAAGCGCTCAATCAGCTCCATCGGCACCACCTTTTGCCGGTACACCTCAAATTCCAATGTATTCGACACCTCTTTCCATGGCTTCTTACCCCCAAACGAGCTATCAATCACCATCTCCTTATCCTCCGAATGCCGCCACATATCCCCCACCGCCTTATCACCCGCCCCCATATCCTTATCCCTATTCCCC